GCGCGAGCGCGTGTCGTAACGTCTACGTTACTTCAGACGTGTCTTTTTAAACTCTCTTTTTGCCCCGCGTCCGCGCCTTTTCAAGTCCAGTAGCATTAACATTTATATTGCGCCGCTTCCCGCTTTCTCTGATCCCGATCCACATTTTTCGGACAATACCGACCGCCCGCCGGGAGCTCGGAGCGATTCCACGCTCCACGGTCCTGAGAACCTTTTATTATTCTCGTGGATCGTGCCGAGAGTCACGACGAGCACACCTGGGGGGATCATCGTGCGAATTTCGTCAGGTTGACAATCGTGTATCGTCCGGGAGTCGATACTATGAAATTCGTATAAACCCGACACGGGCCTAGGGAGGGGCGAGAGGGAGGAGAGGAAGGGGAGGGGGGGGAAATATATTCCGGTGCAACCACTCCGAATTTTATTCTGTGTCAATTACATCGATCGCGCCTTTATAACGGAACCGCCGAACGTACGTGCATTCGCCATAGGAAATGTTGATTATGGATGCGGTGCTTTCCGCTACACCAGCTGCATAACAAGTATTCAAACAGTAATATTGTTCTCGCGGGATATATCACTACTAAAGTAACTTATGCATGTTGATCCTTGGTAAATAACACTGATAGCGGCGACAATTTTAGGTGTAATCGCAATGGATCGCTAGCAAATTGTAAACTAAGCAATGTACGCGAAATTTTCCGTCCTTATTGGATACGATAAATTCTCACATTTACCAGCGCATACATGGTTAAAATCGAGCGACGGTAATACGGTCTTGCGTTCTCCCCGGATTCAGAAACAATTTCTATTATCGACGTCTCAGTGCACTCGTATGCGCTAAACGCGTTGAAAGCCTAAGCGCGAGTGTCGAAATTTCGGCGTCAAGCGTGAAAAAGATTTATGCCAGGCGGTGGCAAGAAAGAAAATAAGTGTATGCACGCGAGGGGCGAGCAAGAGGATCGAAAAGGGCCGAAGGGAAAGGGAGAGAGGGCGGATGGGGAGGAACGCGAGAACTGAAAGCGAACAAGGACGAAAAGAAGGGGACACGATGATGGAGGACCGAAGGGAAGTGGGTCGGCCAAGAAAAGATGAGCAAACAAAATACATTCGTATATCTCTGGCGTCTGTCAAAACAAGTGACGATGCTCCGTTGGAGATCTTTTTGGCTGCCACCTACCGCCTGCTGTCATCTCCGGGCGATTCATCGTGCGGTCGACGCGTCACAATTAACTGAATCATCGGAAGTGATTGATCGGTGAACCGGTCAAACGCAAAGGGCGCTCTAAAGTGCAAGATATTAATTTGCCGGTAGGAAAAAGCATATTAATGTTAGGAAAGAATGAAAATTCGACGTATGATTGATACGCATCGTCATCGACAACGAGCTTGCCTGTCCGTCCACTTTTTAAGATTGACTTAATGATTATTAATGTATTTCTTGCGCCAGAGGTATAGAATTGATCTGACTGTGTTATTATGTCGTTACTTGACGAGAAGGCACGCCGCGAACGGTGCGCATTCAATCGCACCGAGCATCGCATTACCATACGCGCTCGTATCGCACACTGCTATCTTCGTTCTTCACCGGGGATAATCTTTTATCGAACAGCAAACTTTAACCGACATACGATGCACAATACGAACGCCGTGATATAACGCGCATTTGATCTCACCGCGTAAAAGCCCGACGTTAATCGGCCGTGTCGAACGTCTCCTTTCTAACCGTAACGAATACTGACTTACAGCCGTCGCGAAATTGATTCACTTTTAAAGAGCATCGTACACGATTCTCAATCATGCTCTTAAGATCGAGGATTAAAGAGATTTCGCAACGTCTTCGTTCGTGGGAGGATCGATCAAGAACACAAGGGCATCGGAAGGGCCGGCCAATTCGTAAAGAATTTGGTCGTAAGCCTGGATTAAGTTATGATGGCCGAGAACTTCTTTCCGTCCATTCACCCCATCCCCCTTCGCGTTCCCCTCCCAATGTGGCGACGCGTCGCGGGCAAGCGGATGCCATCGAATGCCTCGCCGACACAGGAAGAATCGAAACCAGTTTCTCCTCTCGCGCCAGGCCATTATTGTTTCTTTTACGAATCTAAGCGACGGTAGTCACGCCGTCGTGGAGGAGGAGAAAAAAGGGCGGTGGAACGTAACGGAAGCGGTGGTGAGACATATGGGAGAAAAGCCGAAACAAGAAAGCCGCGGTTTCGAGAAACAATGGAAAAAGGTAGAACAGGCAGTGCGAAAATAGCCGAGAGAAAAAAAAAAGCACGAGACGGGGGAGAAATAAAACGCATCCGCGGTCTATTAAAGTTTGGACTGCTACTGTCTGTTCGTTACGTCCCGCCGGCGAGATACACGCCTCGACAGCAGATTCTCCCGCGACGAGTAGAAAAGCGGTAGCGGAGACGCGGTGTTTGCGTCTTATCGGTAACGGCGCTTCGCTCATTCGCGATATCATTTCCGCGAGAAAATTACCATCTCTTGTAGCGGGACGACCTTTCGAGAGCAGAAACGCGAAAAAAATGTCTACCGCGTCGTGGCGGTACGCACCAGATAAAATGTCAGGTATTCTGATGTCGACGAGCGTTTTCGTCGCGCCGATATCGCAGACCGAAATGACGTTCTTCTCGAGCGTCAGAATAGCGAGGAGGGAGATATTTCAGTAAACGATGATAAAAACGGTAGATAATCGATAATGTATCAGGATAATGTATCGTCATGATTAATCTCGCCAGTAAGCTAATTTTGTATTCTAAGAAAGACGATATATAATATAACGACGATACAATTGCTGCCGCATTTACGGCGATCGATAATAGAAGCGATTCGTGATCGCAATCTGGAACGATAATAAGCGCGGTGCTAGTTTATCTGGAAAATTAACGCTGTTCGGAGAGCACCTCAGGCAATCCCGTTCGCAAATGGTTGAGGTTCGCATCATCGATGTAATTTCCACCGGGATCCGTGAAAATACCCGAGCAGGCAATTTTTAATTCAATGTTTGGAAGATTGGAATAATATGATTGTGGCCGAATTAAAACCGAAGAATAAATATCTCCTAATAGATTATTAGAGAAATATAAGATCAATTTTTTATGCAATGGAAAAGCAACTTTTAACGTTATTTCCAACGTTAAGTAATGTAATAATTCAGTCATAAATTAAAGTTTTCTTGTAAAGTTTTCTTAATTTCCTGTTTTTTTTTTTTTTTGAAAGTTTTTTCGATTTAAAATTTATTTGAAAACTCAGATTAGTTTAGTTATTTCTATACTATTTTTGTTTAGTTCGTGAAAATTCTTTTATTTTTTAATGCTAAATAAAATAAATGTTATATTCAAGTTGTTTATTTGTTTAAAATAAATTAACTTTGTTTCTTTATATTTTATTAACTAAGTATAAGACAAATCTGACACTCCTATTTACTATTTAAAACATCAAAATTGTATCATGTTTTATTACGCATAAGAAATTATGTAGGCAATCTTGACAGAATACATTTTCTGAATTTATCGATTATATTATATATTATGATATTGATTAAAATGCAGATACCACCTAAAATATATTTGGGTCTCTTCCCTGCACAACTATGCGTATTTTATAGAAATATGCACTGATTTTATGGGGTAAAATCAATGTATGCGCGCACGAAGGGTGTCAGGAGGAAATTGTAAATAACGCGACACGGGTTAGGGGCGCATCAAAGAAGATGATGCACTGCGCGAATTTCATATGCAACACTTCTATGCCATTTAATCCGAACAACGCCGCTAGATGATTTAACGCCGTCGAAGATATTGTGTCCGCCGCTTTTGAACACGTAAGCGAAACGTGCGATTTCGTGCGTTTTCGTGGAAAACACGGGAAATAGCGGCTAGTCCGCGTTGTCGATATTCGATACTCGTGGTGGCTTCGGGATTTATAGACCGTCGTGTTGGCTGCGTCGGATTTTTCCGGAAACCAGGCCGATTATCCGCAGAAAAACTCTGCGGTAGGCCGACGACTGGTCGGAGAAAGAAACGAAGGCAAACAATTACCCCCAGCCGGCACTTACGTAAATGGCGGAGAACTAATTAACTTAGAATTCAGTTTTGTTCTCGGCAACCAACTCAACTGAAAAACTTCTGCGTGCTTACCGGTTAATTACAGGGCTTGATGAAATATCGGTGAAACTTTAAAGCTTCGTGTAATGTGCACGGCATTGCCCGTAATGATACGAATTGCTTGAATTTAATCCCTCGTTTATGTCTATTTTTAAATCAGATTTCTGTTAAACTGTGTTCATGGCACGAGCTCTCTTAACAATTCAACTGCTGAATGTATTTTTAAAAAAATTGTCTTTTTTTCGCGCCACCAGCACTCAAATTTATTTTATTTTTATTTCATATAATATGTTATCACCATAATAAATTTATATTTACAGTGTAATTATGTATTTAAATGTAATTAATTAATCAATTGTGTCAATAACCACAGCCTCTTTCGTCGTACCGATGAAATACGTATTCAAAACCATATTTTGACAATTCGCTGTTTTACAAAAGCATTAAACATTAAACATATTAATAAAATGAATTAAAATGTATATATCCATGTACGTAGGATTTCAAATATTATACATATATTGTTTCCTCAAAACTTACATTTTCCAAATTTTAATTTTAAAATTTTATTTCTTATAATTTATATCTGCATATAAAATAAATAATAAACTTCTTTTATGTATATTCATATAATTTGTCCCTAAAATTTTGCGATTTTTTAATTATAAAATAATAAATTACATACATAATTTGTACAAAATTTTATATCTTTTTATGTTGGAAGAAAGTAATTTTGTATTTTATTATTTATTTGTAAAAAAGCAAATTGTGGAGACAAGAATGTGGTTGTCAAAATACGATTCTTAGCAATTATGTATAAATAAGGCAAATAAAAAGCGAATGATATCAGCGATTTGCGTAATAAGCATAATGAATAAGGTTACTTACTCATCGTTGTATCGTAGCTGAGTATGCCGTCGGCTCTACCTGGAGAAATTAATGTTTTTTTATTAATATGAATTATTATTATATATTTTATATATGATTAATTCTTATTATTTAATTATTTCAATTTTAGTGAAAACATAACTATATGCAACAAATAAAATTGCGTGAATAATTATTTAAAAATATTCATAAATATTCAACAAATATTTTAATAAATATTTTCAAACATCTCATAAAGTATTTAATAAATTTATAATGATGCATGTGTGTTATCACAATTATGTATACATATACTATATGTATTTAAATAATGAATAAGTAATAGATCACTCTCTCACCAGCTAGGATATTGTAGTCTGTCTACCGCTGCAGATCCGCTTCAGACTGCTCCACATCAGCTCCAACGAATCGATGAATACCGCACTTACAATTAATTATACACATATATACACACTAATGGATGGCATTCTGTCCACGCATTTATGCGAAAATCATGGATTCACGTCGCGAATTTGTCGCGTCGCGATAAACGAAGCACACTTTGTGCTGTAACGCGTTTATATAGTTATATAACTATTTATTATAACACGCGATTGATTCGATATTATATGCATATTCTTTGAACGAGTGAAATGGATGATGCCGCTTGGCGGTTTCGCGGAATTATTAGATACGGATACATGCACAATGACAAATATGTTCTATTTGATTCAATACCTTCATGCTAAAGTTTTAACGTTTAACGTGTTATATCTAATAAAAAGTACACTTCAAAAAAGTACACTTCAAAAACACTTCAAAAATTGCACTTTGATTGTTTTAAGCAAATGCATTATTTTGCGTATTTATGACATCAAAATCTGTTTACTCACTGCGATTGTAACCTCGTTAAATGTACTATTCGATCACCAGATCAACGCCGTTAATCGTAAACTTTCGCGACAAATAATAAGTTCCGACATTCCCGTTGCTTTAACACTCGTACTCGTTATATTCCTACTTTTACTACGCGCGACGATTGTTATGGATAGAACATGTAATTAAACAATTTAACGCTTTTGTAAATCGTTCTCTATTTTCTATCGAATCAAACCTGAAATAATAACCGCGAATAAGATAGCGAACATAGCGTTCAGTAAGATAACGCCCTCTATGAGTCTAGGAACCAGAACATATTAATACATAGTAAGAAATGATGCATAGCCAATCAAATTTCAATACCCATAAGTCATTGACGCGCGTAATGTGTACGTGCCCAGAAGGAAGAAAAACCTCATTTTAGTTCGGTACAACAACGAAGAATGTGAACTTTCTGCAATGCGTATTTCATCCGTGATAATCGCGTTCTAAAACTACATAATGAGTGTAAATTCTTGTCGAAAATGTTGATCAAAGTAATGAGCAATTCATAGAATGTATTATTTACCGCGAATCTTCGCGTAAAACAGCGTCTGGCGATCGAATCGTGTATATAAAGGTTATAATTTCAATGCAGATGTGACGTCACAAATAGGCATGCAAAATAATTTCTGTTTGTTTAAAAGAATCTAGAAGCAATGTATTTTTTATCAAATATAAAACATATGGAAGATTTAGCTCGTTGATATTGAATTGGAGAAAATGTAGTTAATTAATTTTCTATATATTCGTTTCTATAACGGCACAACCATCGAGACTGTAGTCGTTCGTCTCGTTCGCGAATATATTGCATAGCATCAAATATATCACGGAATGTGTAAAATGAAAATAATCGGCTATTTCTGTGTATAGACGCGTTGCGGCACAAAGTTCAACGTTTTATCTCGAGTTTATGTACCGCGACGATTCGTGATTTTCCCAAACAAAGCGCGTTGGCCGTTCTTCGTTCGATAGTGTGTGTATGTGTGTAAACAAGCAAAAGTTCCTGGTATTCAACGGTTTTTTGATGCAATGGAGCTGATGCAAAAGGCGGAATGTAAGCGGTCTAAGGCGGAATTTAGAACGAGTGAAACAAACAGTAACCTAGTTGGTGAGTAAAATACAGAACGTTCCAGACTTACCGTATCACCGTATTTGACAAGCTGATTGATCAACTTAAAAAAAACCCTTTCCATTTAAAAACACTATTGCAGCATCTACATTTTTATATTAGAATTTTCTCCAAATAACCTTAGAAATCTGTCATTAACGGGATAATACGGTAAGTCTAGGGCACTCTATATATTTACCGAATATTTGTTCATTATTTATATATGTACATAATTGTAATAATATATGCACATATAAAATATAATAATTTTGTATTTATTAAATATTAAGATGTTTGAAAATATTATTGAAATATTTATTGAAACGTTTGTTGAATATTTATGAAAGTTTTTTAATAATTATTCACGTAATTATTTTATATAGTAATGTTTTAAAATGGAAATAACTAAATAATGATGATTAATAGACATAAAATACATGATATAATTAATAAAAATTAAAATATGGGGGGAAAGTAGGTGGAAGAGAGTGGCGAGGTTTAGATTAGGAAGTGAGGTGAGAGAAGGGAGGTATTGGGAGGAGGAGGAAAAAAGGAGGTGTAGGCTGTGTGAAGGAGGGATAGAATCGTGGGAGCACATTTGGGAGGAATGTAGAGAATGGGAGGAAGGAGGGAAAAAGTT